AAAGTGAATTATAAATAATCAAGGCAAACATGTAAAATCACATCAGCTGATCAGCGGCTGACCGACCCAAGGTTGAAGCATGTGAGAGCATTATGGCAAGCAGAAGAATTTCTTTTGCTGTTAAATAACAGGGTAGAGCACCACACCAGCTCACACTCTTAGATATCCAAAAGCAAATTCATTGTTTTAAGTTTACACAACCACCAAAGGTGATCTTTGAAAGTCACAGGAGACACAGTCTCTAAAGCTATTTACAACTACCGTATATAGCCATTTTCATGACCAACTTGAAGGAATTCTACTGCACTCCTTAATAAGTACTATAACCTAAAATTTCTAAACAAGTGCAATAAAATTATGAGTCGAATATAAGGAAACGACTTACACCATCTTAAAATGAAAATAAATTGAAAAAACACTAAGTCAAATAGTTTCGATTGCAGAACTTTAGCAAAAATATTGAATGCACTAATTTTACTTACATATCTTTGTTATGGAAATATAAATTGTCTGCCCTTCTAAATGAGGGAGTCTCAATGAGAGAAAATCAATTGGTGTTAAAAACAAATACAATTTCCTTAGCACCACATTGAAAATTAACCATGAAGAGCGACAAAACCAAAACACATTTTGAAAGCATATCTTAGTGAGCTTGTCTTGGTGATGTGCCACCATACCTAGTTTATCTAGCTCTATGATGCAGGTAGGGGTAGCTGTGAGGGGGACTCATATGGGAAAATGAGAATGAGAATGGAGCCAAAAGGTAGCAGCTTCTGTTAGCTACCATCTCCCCTGCAGCCAAATTGACATTTATGTTTTATTCGATGAAGCAAATTGTACACCGGAGCCTTTAGCAATACTATTTTTACATATGATTCGAGTGGATAAATAGGGTGTGGTGCTCTTAAGAATGTGCCTTGAAGATCTCTGACTAGAGGAAGTGTAATTGACCAAGCGCCCAAGCTGCTGAGCTCGGAAGCCCATTGCTGGATTTACAGAGTCCATGCTTCCCAGAGGGTGCACCCAGGCTACATCTAAGCAAACAGGGACACTAAAGCAGGAGATTCCTAAGATAGATGGAACTCCTCTGAGACTGATTTTGATGGAATTCCTGCATAGCCTTGCCTGGCATGTCCTGGATAGTCATTAGTTATCTTTGGGAAAAGAAACTATTGTTATTATCGAGTTGTCAAAGGCCAGGTTGTTGTATAAACATCACAAATTGAACTCAGTGGGAAAGTTAGTGTTTAGATTGTTTTCAGCTTCCTAATGTAGTTTCATGCGGCAAATGGGTTAGAAAACTACGCAGAGAGAGATTTTTGTTCCATGTAAATAGAACCTCTGATAGAGATATCTACAGCTTAAATAGCCTGCTCCAATCCTCCCAGTTACCCTTGGTAATACTAGCATCTCCATTTTACAGAACAGGAAACTCTTAGCTTGGAGAAACCACGTTCTCAGGGTTACAGAATTTTGAGGGCAGGAGACAATATTTCAACCTCGATTTTGCGGACCCTTTCCACAATGACCATTCAGTTAGAAGACATCTTGCTCGTGAAAAGACCCTGAATGCATGCATTAGCAACTAATGGGTGCTTGGACTATCTGATGTATTAAAACACTTCTATTGCTAAACTTTGATGACTTTTATAAGGAATTTTACTTGCAGCTCTAGCTGGTTTGGCTCAGTGGATAGAGTGTCCATCTGCGGACTGAAGGGTCCTGAGTTCGATTCTGGTCAAGGGCACATGCCTGGGTTGTGGGCTTGATCCCCTCCTGCAAGGGGCTTGCAGGAGGCAGCCGATCAACGATTCTCTCTTATCATTGATGTTTCTATCTCTATCCCTTTCCCTTCCTCTCTAAAATCAATAAAAATATATTTTTTTTAAAAAGCACTTGCAAAATATTGTATTTTCATATAAGTCCCTTTATTTATTTATTTTTTTTCATATAAGCCACCATTCCTTTTCAGATATTGTGGGACAGGTAAATCTACAGACCCAATTTAAATTTCTTAATTTGTGTTACAGTAGTAATCAAAGTGCTCAGGTAAGATTTTGTTGCTTTTAAATAACATTAGCAGGAATCTGTCCTAGTGATCAGAAGATGATGATATATAAATCCTGAATACTAAATATTAAATCATTACAGTGCAATGCTTTGAATAAGAGAAACATTAGGAAAAGATGTCTGTCAATATGTACTAATGTCAAGTTTAGAATTTTTTAAAGAAAATATTTTCAAGCAAGGACACAAAACCAGAGGTATAAATCTCATTAATTTTATGCACATCTTACATTGAATGACCAAGTATGTGTATCAACCCAATACCTACAGAGCTTTGGACAGTGCCAGCCCCACTTAGCTCAAACATTAATGTGGCTGAGTCAGGTCATGTCATTATTTGGAATCAAAACAGCAAAACACCTATAAATCAAAGCTCCATTTAAAATCTGAAGCCAACTAATTCCACTGATGCCTCTTGATTCTATTGCTGTCAAGCCCTAAATAAACTGTTTCCTCTAATCACCAGTCTTTCTCAATATCATCCTCATAGTATGTGGGTTTTTTCCCCATTCAGATCATATTTTCCACCCTTCCACATCACTGCTGATGTCCTTCCTAACATTTTCCATTGTATCCTTTGGAGCCACCCCCTCCCTGCCTTTTCTTTTTTTTTTTAAATAAACAACTTCCTTATTCCTAACCTGAAAATTATTTTGTCTCTGCATTCTTTCTTCTTTGAGGATCTGACTTAAATAAAATCCTCTTGAATGAATGCAAATTCCATACCTTCGTGGCCAGAACAGAGGCTCAGCATAGTCCATTTCCGATCTGTGGCTTTTGTGTTATTACTACTTCAACTCATCAGGGCGTGGGGGAATATTTTCTTAAGTTCATTTCACCAAGCTATCTCACCTGAATACTGAGACTCATCAGCTTTCAGGTCTTTTCTTCAAAATACATTTCTCTTCACTCTAAAGTCCAACCATAATCAACATTTATAATCAATACCCATGCATTACAATGAATAAGCTTGCCAGAGAATCCATGATCTCCAATCCACTCTCGTTTCAGTAACTCCCATTTCTTGAACCTTACGACTATTCTGAAAGGTGCCATCATTGAACTCTTAAACATTGATATTCTATTTCCCAATTAGTTTTCTATCTTTTTTGCAACCTTAAAACTATTATTCTATCAATCCTATTCTGAAATTTCCTTGAAACCTTTCAGTTCCTTGACACATCTTCTGCCAAACTTTTAGCCCTTTTCTAACCTGTTTTTCCCTGCTCAGCTGCAACATTGGATCCTTATTCAAATTCCAGTTCTTCCACGTACTTCTTGGTAAAATACCTTGAAAAAATTACTTAACTGGATCCTCAATTTTTTTAAATGTTTGTATTGATGAGAGAGAGAGAGAGAGAGAGAGAGAGAGAGAGAGAGAGAGAGAGAGAGAGAGGAGAAACATCAATGCGAGAGAGAAACCTTGATCGGCTGCCTCCTGCAACCCCCCTAGTGGGGATTGAGCCTACAACCCAGGCATGTGTTCTGACTGGAAATTGAGCCCAAGGACTTTTTGGTGCATTGGACAATGCTCAACCAACTGAAGCACACTGGTCAGGGTTGCGGGCCCAATTTTTAAAACTAAGAATAATACATATACCTCATAAGAAAGAAGGGGATAAATGTGATAATGTACCTACTATACTAAGTTCCTAACACATTCTAAGTACTTAGTAAACATTAATGTCACCTGTAATAACCAACATTCTGAAGTTATACCTTTATCTTCCTGCAAAAAGAAGTCTGAAACTTCCAAACTCAAAATGGACCTTACAATTATAGTACTGAGTAGAACCAGAAAAAAATGGATTACCTGCACAGATTAATGCCATTGCACATTCACAGATTTCAATTTCAGCATGACCTTCAATGCCTCTCCAGGAAGCTTTTCTCACATCTCCTGGTATCTTCCTGTCCTTTCCATTACAATTCTAACCATGTTCCCCTCTCCTCAAGTTCCCTAACAACCCCCATTCATTACCTGTAGTTAACCTGACCTCTTGTTCACAGAGAAAAGAAAAGCCATCAGAACAGACATGAAGTCTCCCAATGTCTTGTTGTTACCTGTACACATTTCCATATCTCTATTAATCCTTCATTCAATTCCTCCTCCCCTAGTAGTGGAGATAATCTTCCTAGTCACCAAACAGACCCTCACTCGCTTTGTGATAATTTCTCCTTGACATTTGTGTTTTTGCCATCAGACCCTTTCCCTTTCATTTTCCTCTAATGTCAGTTCTTCCCTTGCAACATATAGTCTAACAACACTGAATTCATTTGTTTCCAGCTCATTCCATGTTATTTCATACCTTCATGTCTTTACTGCTTTACTAGGTATCCATGCCTATCAAGAAATCCTCTTCTCATTTTTCTATTAGACAAGCTCCTATTGATTCCTCAGGAGTTCCTCCTTAATCTTAAGAGTTCCTCCTTTGTGAGAGTATACACAAGGAAGACATAAGGGCAAGGATGATAAGAAGTATTGATGCAGCCCTGACCAGTTTGGCTCAGTGGATAGAGCGTTGGCCTGCGGACTAAAAGGTCCCAGGTTCGATTCCAGTCAAGGAATTGGTTGCGGGCACATCCACAGTAGGATGTGTGCAGGAGGCAGCTGATCAGTGTTTCTCTCTCATTGATGATTCTAACTCTCTATCCCTCTCCCTTCCTCTCTGTAAAAAATCAATAAAATATATTTTTTAAAAAAAAGTATTTATGCAGTGAGGATGTTTAGGAAAGGCGTTAGATAATAGGGAAGCCTCACAATATCAAGTTGATAGATGACGAGGCTCAATTATGATATCAGATTTCTTGATTAACTTCTATCTTTCATATACATTTATGTTTATTGAAAAGCATTTCAACTGCTCCCTGAAAGCAAAGAAATAGAATCTGAAGCCTTTCAGATTTTCAGATAATTACAAAAAAATCCCCACCTGTCAGGAAATCACCAGTTTTCCATCTGTTTATGAAGAAATTTTGAAAGGGGAGAGGGGGAAAATGAGTCAAGTTTTAACACACATTTGCTGGCAGGAAAATCAAACTAGAATAAACAGATTATTTATTTTTCTGCAATTTTCACAAATTCCTTTTGTACCAGTTACTTATAATATCATTATAATACAAGCCCGAGGTAACTTCTGAAACTGAAATTTGGGATTTTATAACCTTTGAACTACAATAAAGCCAGAACCTAGATTGTAATTAACATCTGGTAAAGTTCTGCATCGTTTTGCTTTGTTTTTTCGTGTTTGTTTTTTAAGATTTTTTTGGTTGTTTTATTTTGATCATCCAGCTTTATTATGTTCTAAATGACATACATTCTCCTGTTTGGCTGCTATTTATGTTTTATGCTAAATATCACCCAAATATTCAAACTTATCAAATACTCAATATTTCCAGTACAAAATCACCCATCCCACATGCTCAGAGTTGCAAGAGGAGAGAGACTGCTCTCTAAAGGGCAGTGTCATCATCATCTCTATGGATATTTATTGCATTTTTTTTAATGGATGTACATCATTGCTGAGATAGTCTCAAAGTCAGCTTCCAAAGCTAAAATAAAAAGCTGAAAATTTGGCCACAATTTTCTTCACCAAAATTTCTTCTGTTCTGTGGAAAGGCTGCTGGAAGACCAATGTTTTCAAAAGGTTCAGCTTAATTACACTGCTGTGGTCCCACTTAGCTAAAGCTATTTTAAGCATCTTCTTGGGTTACAGTTAGCTATATTACAAATCTAATTACACTTGCCCACAGGAAAGAAAGTACACGGAGACCCTGCTCTGTAATGTACTTAATAAAAGGCACTATATTTTCCTTCATAGCATTTATGAAAATTGTTACTATACAGTTCCTTATATTTCTAATGCCTGTCTATAAATTTCACAAGGGCATGGTTGTATATGCAATACCTAGCACAGAGCTTAGAAGGCCAACAAATGTTTGACACATGAATGAATGGATGACCCTGTGAGCTACAACTAAATTTATATACATTTATGCTTGTCACTTTACATTCATGCTGAAAAAGTAAACATATTTCAGAAACTCACTAAGACACAGTATAGTGTAGAATAACAAAGCATTGATTTGCAAATCAAAAGAAATAAATTGAATGCCAGATCTGGTATTTAAGGTGGATTAAACTCTCTAACACTGTTTTCTCGTCTGTAAAATGTAAACAGAGGTAAGTACCAAAGATAGTGCATACAAAAGTATGCAGCTCAGTCCAAAGCATGAAGTAAGGCCTTAGTGTGGTAGGTAACTTCACGTATCAATATTTTATATAGCTTTTAAGTGTATTATACTAATTCAAATCATCCCAGTCTTTAAAAATTGACAAAACATCTATTTTGAGCATATGTGGACAGTAATAACTCATCAATAATTTATGGCATTAAAATGAATTTTCTAACAGCTTTGTGCCTGTTTTCCCAAATATTATAAGCTGTTTAAACAAGTTACTTTTAATTACTTTCAACACTTTACTCTGTACACGACTTTCAAATCCTTCAGAACTATTCTTGAATCTGTCTCAATTGGTCTCCATAACCACAGTCTTAATTCATGGTTAGTGCAATTCTCTGGCCTACACTGTATGCTCTTCCCCAGTGAACTTTCACTTCATTTTCGCCCTTCTAGTCCATAACTTCAACCACTGTCAAATGGAAGGAGTAGTTGTCTCTGAAATCTGTCTCCCTTCTGGATTGTACTTTCAAAGAATCAGGTCCAATTTCAATCCACATCATTCATTCATCCATTTATTCACTGAGCACCATTTATGTTCTGGTTTGAATGTTTGTGTTCCAAAAATTCAGATGTTGAAAACCTAATGTCTCAGATAATGGTATTAAGAAGTAGGGTGTGGTGTTTAGGAATGGGCTTGGTGGCTTATAAAAGAGGTTCCAAAAAGCTACCTTGCTTATTCCACCACATGAGGACACATGAGAAATTTGTGACTTAAAAGAAGACCCTCACCTGACTCTGCTGGCACTCTTCTCAGATCCCCAGCCTCCAGAACTGTGAAAAACAAATTTCTGTTGTTTATAAGCTTCCCAGGCTCTAGTATTTTGTTACAGCCGCCTGAACAAACTAAGACAATCTATGACCAGACACTGTGTTAGGTTATAGAATTACAAAGATTATCACAGCCTGGCTGATGTGGCTCAGCAGTTGAGAGTCAACCCAGGAACCAAAAGGTTGCTGGGTCAATTCCCAGTCAAGGCACATGCCCAGGTTGTGGACTTGATCCCCAGTAGGGCCCATGCAGGAGGCAGCCAATCGATGATGTTCCTCTCTCATTGATGTTTATATCTCTATATCCCTCTCTGTTTCTCTCTGTGTAAAAATCAATTAAAAACATTTTAAAAAAATAGGTGAGTTCATAAAGAATATGTTTTTTAAAAAAGATGATCACAATGAGGTCTCCAGTATCAAAGAGCTCATAATCTAATTAGGGGATACAAACCTAGAAATAGATAATTTTGAAAAATGTAGTAAAGTAAGTAAACTAATTAAGTGTGTGGCTTTTTGAAAACACGGAGAAAGAGTATCTAACCAGCCTGGGGTAAGCAAAGGACAGTGACAGAATTTTAGAAAAAGCGATGCTTCTTAAAGATCAGGAGGAATCAATGGATGAAAAGGACAGGAAGGTCATTCCAAGTCCGAGGATCAATATGAAGCACAGAAACCAATGATCGTGCATGCATACAGACAGCAAGTCTATTTACTTATTTATTTATTTTAATTGGATTTATTGGAGTGACATTTGTTAATAAAATTATAGGTTTCAGGTGTACAATTCTGCAATATGTCATCTGTATATTGTACTGTGCTTGCCATCCCAAGTCAAGTCTTCCTCCATCACCATTTATCCCCCACCCACCCTCTTCTGCCTCCCTCTACCCCATTTCCCACTGGTGAAAATTTATTTTTGAAACTATTGTTACATCAATTCACAAAGTATGTCTGCAGCATACAAATGTATAGGAAAGGTTTTATTTAAGATTTTGTTTAAATTAAAATGAATTGGCAATACAATTTTTTTTTAATCTGTAAATTCAAATACTTTTCTCTTAACACCATTAAAAACAATATTAGGAAACATCTGCTTTGCTAGATTTCATTCAGTGTTTCAGGTCATATGGATCCAGTATTGATATTCCAAAATGGTGGGGTATCAACTTTACTGTGCATCTTCTCACCAAAGACAACCTCAAAACTGCCTTGTTCATTACATCAAGGAGAGACCACAGCTGACACACAATCGATAATGGTTCATTAAGCCCTAGGTTGTAGAAAAGCATGAGAATTGACTCCCTCTTTTCAGAAACGGAAAAAGTAAGATCAAGTGATACCTGATAACTTCAGTGTCTCTCCCCAAATCAGAAATATCCGTGCTAAAATGACTCCCTTGAATGTTTAAAAGTAAAAAAGTCATAAAGACAAGATTTTGAAAAAACAACATAACAGTCCAGCAGTTGAGCATCGACCCAGGAAGCAAGAGGCTGCAGGAACAATTCCCGATCAGGGCACATGCCTGGGTTGTGGGCTCGATTTCTTGTGGGGAACATGTAGGAGGCAGCCAATCGATATTTATCTTTCATCAATGTTTCTATCTCTCTAACCCTCTCTCTTTCTCTCTCTCTCTAAACAAAGTCAATAAAAACATATTTTAAAAAAACATAACAACAACAAAGATTAACTCTATTTCTATTCTGGCACATATATATTAATAGCCCTAGAAACTATTGCACAATTTTAGAATAAATTTGGACCCATCAAAAAATATTCACTTATTAATGCAAAAACTAGTTTTGTGTTCCATGAGGACAAGGACTTCATTTTTGTTCATCACACTTTCAACATCTCAAGCAAAGTAAGTTCTAAGAACTACTTTTGAATGAATGTATGAATTAATTAATACTATGTATAAGACTAGACTCAGGAGAATTTGGCAGCAAATTAATACACAACATCTCTGCCCTGGCAGGAGATACAAATTAAATTAAAATACAAATTAAAAGAATTGATTTGTATGAAGTAAATTAGAAAAGAAGCAGCCCAGCCAACATGGCTCAGTGGTTGAGCATCATTCTATGAACCAGGAGTTCTCAGTTTGATTTCTGGTAAGGACACATGTCCGGTTGTGGGCTCGATCCCTAGTTTGGGGTGTGCAGGAGGCAGATGATGAATGATTCTCTCTCATCATTGATGCTTCTATCTCTCTCCCTCTCCCTTCTTCTCTGAAATCAATAAAAATATATTTGAAAAATAAGCATAGGAATGAAGGGAGGGGTAAATGGCTCCTTAAACTAATGTGTTTAAGTAAGGCCTCTGTGGGGGCAGGATAGAGACTTACCTAGGTAAGTACTATGTATGTGCTATGTCATATAGTTCTCACTACAGGGTATCCTGGCAGGTATCATATCTCCAATTTATAGACAAAAAAGTTCAAGTTAAAAGAGTTAATACAAGATTCATTTTGCCTCGTTGGTGTGGCTCAGTTGGTTGAGCATAGTTCCATGCACTGAGAGGCTTCTGGTTCAATTCCAGGTCAGGGCACATGCCCTAGTTACAGGCCCGGCCCCAGACTCCCCATATGGGGTGAGCAGGAGGCAACTGATTGATGTTTCTTTCTCTCATCAATGTTACTCTCTTTGTCTCTCTTCCTTTCCCTTCCACTCTCTCTAAAATGTCCATGGAAGCACTAAATTCTATAAAAATGCTGTATTCAATATTTTGTTCAATTAGAAACCTTTTAGCCTTCTCAAATTACTCATATAAGTCATTTTTCATACATGCAGTTCCTCTCAAAATGCCTGTATATACATTTGAGGGAACTTTGCTTAAGCACCAAAATATACTCTTTACATTTTTGGAAAAGACATTTAGAACATCAGTCTCTTTATTAGCCACCAAGATGAAAGGTATTTTCAGTTGTTAATACATGGCAGCACTTGTTTCTGATAGGGGCTGCCAATGGCTTTCATTATGCCTGTCAATCAAATGGTAGAAAGGAAAAATAAAATAACTGAAAAAAATCCTACACACTACAAACGGTTGGCATGGGTGGTATGAATCCTCCTGTTATTTGGGTAGATAGAATTCAAGGGTATTTTAGGAAAAGCGCTACTTTTTTTTTTCCTTCAGAATTTCAGTCACTTAATTTCACAAAACAAAAACAACAATCACATGTTTGGAAAAGTAAAATTATAAAATATTTGTTTTTCTGTCAGAGTATGGAGTTCAAGTTAACATAAGATTTCATTTCAAATGACAAAAGGCACATTCACCAAAATTTAGAGAAAATACATAAGTTGAAATCATGAAACTCCCCTCAAAAATCAGTGATGCAATACAAAGAGTAAGTCACACATTTCCTTGTCTTTTTTGTTTCTAACAACATTCTCGAGTTTCCCTACAAACATTTAAACGAGGCAGAAGGCTGAGAAATAGGTCAACATCGGTTAAAGTTGCTTCAAGTAGGAATGTAATTGTAAACCCATGATGATGCAGTGAAAATGACTGTCATTTTTTATTGGCGATATTGCTCTTCGCTACATCATTTTGGTTACACAGAATGGTTTCAATTCCCTCACTATCACAAGAGTTTTGTGTTGTAGTTTTATGTTTGCTTCCTTGCTTATACACAGTAATATCTGTGAGAACATTAACCTGTTCCCTTCCTTAGCTAATTATTGATGGGAAAGGAAGCAAAGGAAGAGTCAGACATTGTTGAGCATAATCAGCTGGGAAGCAAAGGCCTGTTTGCTTCACCAGGAAGCTACAACTTCACACCCCAAGAAACCTCAGCATAGCCCCTCCAAGGGGATTAACACCTTCCCCTCCCCCACAACAGGTACCAGATTGTGTAGGGGGCGAGGGGAAAGCAGAGGGAGAGGTAAGAACATGAGCAATAAAGTCAAAATGGTGCAGGGAAAGGTGCTGGACCATAGAGGCCTCAGTCTAACCGGGGAAAAAGATCATTGACTCGGGATGGACCCCATCAGAAGCCCGCAACAGTTTGGGAAGCTGATTGGCTATTTTGAAAGAGCTCCTGGTTCCTCCCAAGCCAGAGAATACAGAATTCCAGGCGGACAAAGACGCTCTCTGTCCCTGGCTTGAGACCTGAACTTGCCCAGTCCACTCATGTTCTCTCTCCATCGCCGCATGGGCCTAGAAGCCGCATGGCCACTGGCCCTGCGGACCCTACACACAGGCTCCAGCAGGCGCCTAGGTACGGCGGCAAAGCAATGGATTGCAGCAGGAACACAGCTAAGTCAGCCAGGTGCTCCACTGAACTAAGTTTTAACACTGCACCGAATCTCTGAACATTGACTCTTTCTGGCTCTGATTTTTCCACGGTGAGAGGGACGGATATAGGACATTGGGGAACTTCTTTAGTTTTGCTTTCTGAATGAATTTTGCCAGCAGACCTCATCTTCTCTTGTAGGTCCTCCCAAATGCTTTCCTCCTGACAGCGCAAGAACCCCCTTCCACCAGCAACAATAAGAGGAGGAATAAGACAGGAGCAAAACAATGCACTGTTCTGTACTAAACACAAATTGGCAGAGCAACTACAGACTAATTCCCAGAATAGAGCACAATAAAACCAAAGAAGGATGGTAGCAATTATGAGAGCATTTTGTAAAATTCGCTTTCAACTCCCGAATCAAGTCTTGGAATTGCTAAGAATCTTTAGAAAATAAAATCAACGTATTTTTGTAAGGCTTCAAGGTCAAAGCACAAGAGCCCACAGGGTTATAAAGTTTGTTCATGTATGTATTACTGAGTTGATAGTTCCTGATGATAAAAACTGGATAGACTTGCGAACTATTAAGTCCATATTTGATGCTAAAAGAAGAATCAACTATTCTAATTCAGGTCATGTCCAACAACCAAGGTATAATGTGCCTCGGGTATTAATAAAAAAGGTACAGGAATACGTAATAACTCATCGGGGCACATGAAAATACCAATACTGGTCCTATAATTTGATATTCATTAAATACTAAATA